TGAGAGAAAGGCAGGGAGAAGAGAACACTCCAGCACGGCGAGCTTCCCCCCAGGGCTCCACGGTGTCTTTGAGCTCCAAGAGCACCATCTCGTGCCTGAACACACCACCACGGGTCTCCGTCCTGCCCAGCAGCACAAGCAGGTAACAGCACCAACCCACGTCGCTTCTCAGCTCCCTTCTCACCGCCCCTTTACAGAGTGGTTTGAAAAATTCTCATGCTTGGGTTTGTCATCTTCAATTAGCTTTAAGGAGTTAACTATGATTATGCAAAATTGCAACAAGTGCTGAACAGCGTGCCAGGAATCAGAGCACAGCCCAAGGCCCAAAGGCCCCCTCAAAGCTTCTTTTGCAGTAGAATTAAGGGCATTTGTGTATCAGACATCACTGCAATGTTAAATAACATTTATAGACTGTTGCTCAAACAGCTTTCAAATAGAATACAGCACAAGAAGAAAAGGAGGTGATGGCAAAAGGAGTTCCTCATTTTGGTTTGCTATTCCATTATTGAAAAAGGGAAACTAGCAATCTCTCTCAGTAAGTTTGAGATTTAATTTCCAGCAAACAAGTATTTTCCAACAAAAAGCACTCACACTGAAGTATTTTCACTTCATGTATTAACATTGTATGTATTCTCATTTGAATACCTCTTTATAGGAGACTGAGACACCTGAGAACTTCTTAAAAATCTGCTGCAGAAACTGTGAACGCTTTTCCTGTTACCACGACGTTCCCTGCTGAAGGGCTCAGGTGTTTTATACTGGCTTACGCCTTCCGTCTCCAAATATCATCTGTAACACCTTAACCTAGTTCACGACTCTATTAGCATTTGTCTCAAGGCACAATCTGAAAAATCAAATTACTTACCCACACGCACAGACCTGGGGGGCTGTCAGGAGAGCTTAAACATTTCCAGAGTACAGATTTATGCTGCTTCCTCCTGTTAAACACACACACACGGTCTCAGCAGAGCGCAGTGACGTGACAGGCATGGGAATGGACACAGCCCAAGAATAAACACTGTTGACAAGAGGGAAATTTGTCAGTGCATCCGTTCTGAGGGGCAAAAATCTTGTGAGGAAACTCCAGTAAATAACCACAAAGGTGTTTTTTTCTTTTTAATCACCAAGATAAAATTTCTAGTTGGTACAACACTGGTAACAGGACACTGTTTTGTGAACCACGGACGATTCCTATGTTTGCATGTGCAAATATTAAGTGTTAGCGGGCGGCCGCGGGCCCCTCGCACGCCCGGGGACAGCGTTCCCGTTGCACGAGGACGGGGCCACCCCAAGCCGTTGGAACAAAGGTTAACCCAGGATCCTCAGTGGCATGGCTGCTTGTTACTGATCAAGATAAATCGCTGGGACACATGTGGTTAGGAAGTGGCAGATGAGCCAGGAAAAAATTAAGACCTGGCTCTAGCTGAGCGTTCTGTGTCTGCAGCAGAACTGAATCTCCTGTCCCGAGTCCTCGTTCTTCTGCCTTACAAACACGCTATGGCCTTTGCCGCGCGGTAACCGACGCGCAGCCGAGCTGAGATGGATCTTTGGTAAGGTGCTCAGAAAGCTTAAAAACCGAATTCCACTGCCAGCGGCTGTTTCATCCGAGCTGCAGTTCAGCGGATCTCGGTCAGATTCCCACCCTGTGAATCCGCGGGTCTGTGGGCCGCCGCAGAGGTGCAGACAGCACGGCATCACTTGGCAGCCAGTCCGGGAACAAAGTTTTTCTTCAGAGCTTTTGCTTAGGCCCAGTATGAGACAGCAGGGTTACAGCAGCTGCGGGCTGACTCCAATATATCACCACCTGCATTTCTGATGGCACTATCTGGCTGCTAGTGTAAATACCCAATTATTCTGCCTCTGGTAGCACCAAAAACTTTTGAACTTAAACAGGAGACTACAAAGAACACACCAACCCGATGCATGTTTCATATACATATTTATATATATTTCATGTACAAAGTTACATTCTGAACCCCATGGATTCAATAATAGAAATAAATACTGAAATAACTACACTGCTATATGAGCTTTTCTGCTCACAGAAAAGAAGCCTCAAGTTTTAACAGACAGCAAGTTTAACGCTGTAGTATCCATCTCGGATTACAGAGGCAAGTAAAATTCAGCGTAAAGTGTCCAACAGACAAAACTTTCAAAAATTACAGACCATAAAATGTTTAAAATATATGTTTAAAAGATTGAGAAATGTGCATCAACAAAATTAATAAAGGAAACTTAATCTTGTTAAAGGGCAGGAGAGACATTTAGTGTATAGAAAAATGCTTTGAGGTGCAACATAGGTTGTTACAATATGGCATAACCCTGTTAGAAAAAAAACATTTAACTTCCCTAAAGAACTGTATTTGAGTTGACCGTGTCTTGTTTTACAGCGTAGGGCCTTCACAAGACCCCATCTCAACAGGGTCACTTACAAGAGTGCTAAGTCAGGTTTAATCCTTTGGTAACTTTTATAATACTCACATGGAAATAAATATTCAGTTACACAGCATTTTAAAAGACACACGTTCTTTAGAACAGTTAGTATAATAAAACAGATTTAGCATTTGTCTGTTACTAAGGCAGCCTATGATAAAGTGTCTACGCTCTGCCAGCTCTATCCGATCCAACGCAGGAAGACCTTTACAAGGAATGGACAATGCAGCAGCTTATACAACGCATTTCACCTTTACCATGCAAACACCCTTACCCAGGCAAGTAATGTGCTGCATATTTTGTGCTCGAAATGTTTCCAAACTATTAACAAGCTGTAGCTATCAAGAGATTAGCTCCTATTTATATGATGCATAAACACATTCTTGAGACGGCGTTGTAGGAGTGTACTGTCATGGCAGTGCCTGGGGTTTTGCGTGCTTTATTCGCCACTCAGAGCGACCTTAAGCAGCGTTTCTAAACCCCGGTGCACTGTGATGACAACAGGGACCCATTTAATCTACTGTACCTTAGGACAGGGGATAAAGTTTTTAAATGAGAAATACAGAGAAGTGCACATGCCTTTTATCTACACCCACAGTGGTACACAGTTAACCTACCGTTTTCTTTAAAACCCTTCCACTTTTGGACAGAAACAATCATTCTCTGAAAAATTTGCAAGAGTTGGCCCACTGAGGTGACTAAAATGGCACGGTGGACCAGCTACATTTGGCAAAAGACCAGGTACACACTTGCCAGATTGAACTGCTCTATTTCATAGCAGTAGAGCCGTTCAGAGAAAAAACGGCTCATCGCTAATTACACATAAAATGCTATACACGAACCAAGAACAGAATTGTGCGCTTTTTTCTGAGAACATGAGAATGTGACAATCAACCAGTGAGTAAAAGCTTTGGAGACTGTGTTTTCCAAAGAGAAAAACAAATTTAAGATGATGGCCGGAGAAGCAATGAAACTGCACCACTCACAGTGAAGATTCTGCACAACAGTAAAAGTTTAGACAGTATTTTCCTAAGACATCCCATTTTGTAAGTAAATTCAGATGTGCCTCAGGTTCAGCATCCATGTCTATGCAAGTTTTAAATAGGTCTTTAAGAGTGTTTAGTCAGTTTACTTTCTGTATTTGTATATTTTTTAAAGAGCTCCCAGACTTTATATTTAAGCCAAAGTACTTTAAGAGTGACATTAAAGATGAATTTGGAAAGCAAATTATGAACAACATGCTCTCATCACTTTTGGCATTCTGAAGAGAAAAATACTACCAAGATATTAGACATCTTTAATAAGGATTTTTACTACATAGTTCATGTCCTAAATACATATTTACGAGAGGAACAGCTGTGTACAAAATATGTCACTTAAAAAGTATTTATACATATAAATCTAACCAATAGACCTGAATGGAGTTTTTCTGGTTTATCAGCTATGATATGCATCTGAAAAAGCTGCCTAAATATATATTTACACAATAGATCTCAGCTAAATGTGTTCATTTAAAAAATTAAGAAAATATATAAACACATGTTTGCCTGATAGACCAGAACTGCTCCTATTGCATAAAAATGTTTAGGCAGTTTTAAAAAAGTGTTTCTATATTTACTCCTCTGAAACTGTTCAGTTCTCTCACATAATCAAGTTACTAAATTTCTCTGAAAATCTGAACAGAACAGTCCCAGCCTTTTGGGGGTAAATGCTGGATGTTTATTAAAACCCCTCGAAACTTTTACTTTCCAGAGACTGAATGAAAGAACAAGTCTGGGTTTTAAAATATTCTGAAGTACAGAAATCATGAAGTGTTTAACTTAGGTCTGATACTAATGTAGGAAATTCAATGTAAAAGGAAGACAGTCTTCAACTCACACTTATGGTTAAAAAAATAGATGGTGAGTAGACAGAATGTCGGCCTAGTATTAGAGTCTCCTGACTTTCATCAATTTACTCAATCTTAGTGTTACCTACTAACATTGTCGCTAACTTTTTTTTTTTAACGCTAACTTGGGTATGCAACTACAAAAACAAAAATACATTTTGTACCTAATTATCTGGCACTAAAGTTCCTTTACAATCTCACTTGGGCAGAAAGCGTGTTTCCCTGTACACTCTCAGTCTTTTCTCATGCTCTAATCGAGGTCTCTAACCTTCACACGTGTAGTGCCTCATGAGTTTGACCAGCTAGGCAGAGAAGATCATTCTAGTGCTTAGGACATAGGGAATTAAGACAAGAAAAGAACAAAACATATCCCCTGTTCAAGAATTCTACAGTTATTTTCAAATTTAAATCATCCTAAAAATACCCTTTGGAAACAGAGTTGTTCATGTCTGGGAAATGGGAAAACACTATGCTCAAAATTGCTCATTATTGAGGGCAGCAGTTCTCAAACTTTACGGTTCAATAGTGAAAACATGTATTTTTATTTAAATATTGTCATCTTAATTCCTATACAATCCCCTCTTTCCCCCAAAATTCTGACAAACGTAAGAAATTAAACCGTATACACTATGTAAGCCAGATTTTCCAGGTTTGAAAACAAAAGCTGAAATTTACAGTTTGCTTTAGCCCTCACTGAATATTTGGATGAGTCTTAATAATCCATCTTCCAATTTGTCAATTTTTTAATACTCTGGGAATAACTTTGCTGTTTTACTCAATGCATTATACAGTGAAGTGAAGCTCAGTTGTAACAAAGCTGAACTCAAGTGAGACTACCAAAGAAGTGAAGTACACGAGATGGCTGCGGTACAGCAAACCCAATGTCTCGGTTGCTTACTATGGTGCACGCACCACTTGTGAGAAAGATCCGATTCCATTATACTGTTCCATGTAACAGGGGTGCAGTAAAACAGCACAAGCTAATTCCTGTATAGTTAGAGGTATGACAGATTTGCAATATAAAGTTAAACAGCAAAGAAACGCTTCAACATCATGTAGTGAAACAGGTTTCACAAAATAAAAAAACATGCAGAAGCTTTTTTTTTTTGCCTTTTTTTTTTTTCCTTTTTCTTTTTAAGGTCTCCAGCTGCACCCTGCAGGCTCACTCGCTGCCACACATTACTTGCCACACTATCAAATGACTCCTCTCAGCTTTGGCTACAGAAGGTTCAAGTTGTAGAGCTTCTCCAAGTAGTTCCGATTCTCCACCTTCATCACCTGAAAAACAGCAGCTTTGATTCAGGCAGACGATAAAAAATAGCACTAACATCAAATGCAGCAAGACAAGTGACACCTAGGCTTACAAGAAAACCACTATAAAAGACAGTGCTTGCCATATGCTCATATAAAAGCATATTCAAGATTGTGAATATATACATTACAAATGGAAAGTCTGTTGCATAATTACTTCAGAGCCTGGTATTGTGCTAAGTCATATTCTTTAGTTCTAGTCCCCCAAATTCATCGTAGTTTTGTAAGTATCCATATTCTACACATTTCATTGCTTACAACTCTTTAAGGCAGAGAAAGAACAACCTAATTTTCAAACTTGCAGTGCCTCCCAGGCAGAAATGGACATGGTTACGCTATGAGAAAGTGTGCTAGCATAAACAGATAAACCATATAAAGTGCTCCGGAGAAAAGAGCAGTAATTAAGCACAAGTGAAACGAGGCAACATTCATGTCTATGATGAAGCTCTCCTCTTCCTTCCTCTCGTTCTAGTCACCCCAGCTTGTCACAGCTCTGCACACACTGGCATAAGACAGCCTTAAGCCTGTTCTCCATTACTGCTCTTCAAAAGAAAAGAGCAGTTTTGTAACTGCATCTAAACTCTTGGTGACAGGAGCTGACTGGGATCAAAGGTGACAGACAAACCACTAAACAAAACTGCATGTCAACAGTAATAAACATCCATACAGAGCCAGTCATCAGTTCAGTAGATGAAATGGGCACTGACCTACAACTTCAGGAAGGTTTCCAGTCACAGTTTGGCTGGTTTTCTGGTTAGACTACTTCAGAGGTCTGAGGAATCTAAACATATAAGAGCCTAAACTTGCACTTGAGCCAGTTTGCTGCACTAAGGTGGTAGTGGCTGAGCTAATGCAGCAATAGTACTGACGCTTAGGTTCATGGCTTTGCATCATGCCACAAGGACAACAGAACGCACACGTGGCATGTGGCTCTACCAGCTCGCTTGGAACAAGCGCAGAGCCTTTAATATTCACTGCAGTGTGGCACAGAATTGCCTCAAGTCCTGCCTCCCACGTAACTCCACTGGGGTTCCCAGCAGGA